GTATGTAAGTTGGTTTGTTGGGTAGTTGGTTGTTTGATCGGTTGGTTGGTCTGTCATTTGGTTGAATGGTTTGGTAGTTGGTTGTGTAGTTTGCTTGGTTGTACTGTTTGTTGGGTAGATGGTTGGTTGGTTGGTTGATTGGTTTGTTAGTGGGTTGGTTGGTTGGTTGGTAAGTTTGGGTCTTATCTTTGACTTGTCTTCCAGGTAACTAAGGACCTGGAGAAGCGAGTGATCAAATGGTTTGATTTCCTGTGGACCAATAAGAAAGCAGTGGATGAGAGGGAGGTGTTGAAGTACCTGCCAGACAAACTGAGAGCTGAAATCGCCATCAACGTCCACCTGGACACCCTGAAGAAGGTGTGCACATCAAACAGCACCTTAAAAACCCTCAAAGTGTCTAAAAAAACATAAGTTTCTTGTGTTTCTTTGGTCAGGTTCGTATCTTTGCGGACTGCGAGGCAGGTCTGCTGGTGGAGCTGGTGCTGAAGCTGCAGCCTCAGGTCTACAGTCCCGGAGATTACATCTGTAAGAAGGGCGACATCGGGAGGGAGATGTACATCATCAAGGAGGGGAAGCTGGCTGTGGTCGCTGACGACGGCATCAAGCAGTTTGTGGTTCTGAGCGATGGGAGCTACTTCGGAGAGATCAGCATCCTGGCTATTAAAGGTAAAAGAGTAGTGGGTTTAACTGTACCGAGTTTAGGGAAAAGTGTGAGGAAGACTTTTGCCTTTTTCCCCCAAATTTCGTCCTTTATTCTCAACGTGTTGGTCTTGTTCTTGACCTAACAATTGTATTCCCACCATAAAGATGATATATTCAAAAGGTCGACTTTATCCAAACGTTTGACTTTATTCTCAACTATTAAAATGTAAATAAACGTACAAATAGAGACAGCATCTAGTTTCAAGTTTTAAGTTTCAAGGCTTTATTGTCATTAGCACATACAGTGTAGATATGGCACTGGAAAACGTCAACTCTCTAAAACTAAGAACAATGCTATTTGAGATTGTATATTAGATCGTTTTTATTCCTGAGTTTTTGTTCTTCCACAGGCAGTAAGGCAGGAAATCGTAGGACGGCGAACATCCGGAGCATCGGGTACTCGGACCTCTTCTGCCTCTCCAAAGACGACCTGATGGAGGCGCTAACAGAGTACCCCGACGCGAAAGCTCTACTGGAGGAGAAGGGACGGCAGATCCTGATGAAGGACGGGCTGCTGGACCTGGAGGTAATCCCATCATGCAAAATGCACTTTTTGATGTCTTTCATACATAAACATTGTTGATGTCTTTTATACATAAACATTGTTGATGTCTTTCATACATAAACATTGTTGATGTCTTTTATACATAAATACCCCCGGTGTGTCAGGAGACTCACAAAGTGAAAATAAAACCCTCTCTCTTTTCCTCCGTACCCACATCTCTAAAAACGGGGGACCGGCGGAGCTGATCCAGATTTGCTGCCGATATGAAGTTATATCGGAAATGAGGGCGGGCTTTACACCCACGGGCCAATCAGAAACTATTTGTTTTAAAGCTTTAGACCCAGAATCAGCACTTCTCTAACAGGGCTGAAATAGAGGGATATGAGGGATGTCTAAAATGCATGATCTGTTTGGTATTTTGAGGAAAAAACATCATAGACATATTTTTTATATATCTGAGACCTATAATATATGCCTAAAAATAGTATGATAGGAGACCTTTAAAGGATTCAACGGACCACCAAGTTAGAGTCCCAGGGTTGGAGAGATATTTAGATATTTTGATGGATGAACTTGTTGTTTTATTGTCCTCCAGGTGGGTGTGTTGGTCTTTGCCACCATCGTCGATAATGTTGGTTCGATGATCACCAACATGACAAATTATATATTTGTATATATCTGAGACCCATAATATATGCCTAAAAATAGCATGATAGGAGACCTTTAAAAAATAAAACCACAAAGGTGTAATACCTGTTGTTGTCCTGCAGGTGGCGGCACAGGGTCCGGACCCCAAGGAGATGGAGGAGAAGGTGGAGAGGATGACGACCTCGCTGGACGTCCTGCAGACTCGATACGCTCGACTGTTGGCCGAGCACGAAGCCACGCAGAGCAAACTGAAGCACCGAGTCCACCGCCTGGAGAGCAAGCTGGTGACAACAGAGAGAACCACAGAAGAAGAAGGAGCTGGAACCGCCTAAAGAACCAACGAAGAAACTCAAATGTTCCAAAAGAAATTAGATATATTTTGTGTAAAAAGTAATTAAAGCCACAAATTAGAAAGCAATTAATTCTGGAAGCACTGCGCTGAAATAAACATATTTTTAAAGTAAAATGCAAAAAGGCTTCTTTTATTTCAAAACGTCCAAAAAACTAAATGCATTGTTTTATTATTAGATCAAATAATTAGGTACGGGGGGAATCACAAGTTAGCATCAAAGAAATAAGAATAGTTACATTTTTAGCTGCAAAATTAAAGCTATGAAAAACTACTTTACTTTTATTAATTTACTATGTTTAATTAATTAAGTATTTCTAATTTAAATAACTACTTGCAATTTTAATCTATTTTTTTAATGTGTATATATACTAGGATTTTTTGCTAATTTAAACTTTTTTATTTTAATACCTTTAATAACTATTTTTCATTTAACTTTAATTTAATTGTATTTATATATTTATTTAATTGTATATATTTTATCAACACAATTATTTTTAAATACAAATATAACATTTTACTGCTTTTAGTTAATGAGCTGTAAAATACAACACTTTTTTCTTAATTTTTATAGTTTGTGATCAATATTTTCCTGTCAATTTAAAAAATATAAAAAATTAGAGTATAAATAAATAATATTCATCTATTTTCAGTCCAGAATTTGAATGAAACGTCCAGCTGTTGTCGTTGACACGTCGCACTGCTGCGCCTCTCTCATGCTTTCTGGGATGTGTAGTTCTAATCCCCTCAGCCGCCTTTAGACGCATTCGTATCAAAGACTACAGTTACCGGCATGCACCGCGGCGGCTCTGCGCATGACAACCAGGCAACAGACTCCACTGCTGCAGCTTCACACTACTGAGGTTTGTTTCACACATAAAAGCTTCTTAAATTACTTTCCTGTATGAACTTCAATATAAAACTTATACTAACAGCAACTGAGGTGATGGTTTGTATTCTAATAAGTGTTATTGACTGGATGTGACGTCTGTTCACGCCTCTTTTGTACTGCTAATGTAATGACAGTTAGCTTACAGGAGCTAACCGGCTAACAGCTAGCTCTGCAGATATCGCTTATTTCTGGCTGAAAAAGGGTTAAAAGTGAAGATACTGTGTTAGAATATCATGCACATAATACGGCTGTGTGTTACTGTGTGATACTGGAGTGTGTTGAGCTGCTACATCAGCATTAAAGCCTCAAAATGACCTTTTAAAACGTGTGTTAAAGGGTTAAAATCATGCCCTTCTGTACATGCACAGATCTTTATATACAGTGTGTGGCTCAGAGTCCATATATGAACACACAGCAGGCTGAAACATGATCATCTAAAGGCTGCTGTGCACCTAACATGTTTCTGCAGCTGAACATCTACTACAGACTTCTGTTTTAATACTATTATTCTTTTCACAATCTTTACAAAGTGGAAGTACAGTTTGTCCTAGTTCCACACACACACACACACACACACACACACACACACACACACACACACACACACACAGCAATATAAAATAACTTTGTGCCGTCTGTTTTGCGTCAATCAGTTCCTTTATTTGAGCATCTTTTAAAGCAGTAATTGTATATTTCCAGGCATGTGAAGAGAGCTTAGAGGGAGATTTCAAACACAAAGGATTATGCAGTCAAACAGCTGATGATTTAGTGAGTCGGTGCTACAATAACAAACATTATTTACCTGCAAACTCCATTCCTAAATCTGCATATGTTGTGCTATAGTAGCTCCTCCTGATCCGACACCAAACTCCACGTTAGCTACGGGCTGCTAACCTGACTTCAGTGCGTAGCAACAGATCTCCTCCTGGGTACAACACATGTGATTGTCTCCTGTGTTCTGCTCATTAACTGATCTGTGCTAAAGAACGCTAACAGACCTCCTGGGTGAAAACATGTCTTAATGAACGCCAGACTGCATTAATAAGAACTGCTGATTTCATTACTGTCTGTAGACTTTAGTTCAATGTTTCTGAACTATCTCCTCCGGTAGAAACAGGTCATTGCCTTTTGTCAGTAAACCACAATATCAGTCAGAAAGTTGCTATTTAAAAGCTGCTGTTCTGGTTCAGACTTCAGTCCAAAAGCATCTTATTTAATTTAAACAACTAACGGATCTCCTTCATGCCCACCAGACTCCATTCATAAAATATGCTTATTTGCCGTTGCTACTTTTACTACAACATGTCCTCCTAAACTTTAGCTGCTGTGCTTCAATAATGAACAGATAACTAAACGAACTTCCTCCGCTTTTGTAAACCAGACTTCATTCAGAAATCGCCTCATTTGAACTAAACAACACGAACACGTCATCTGCTCTTGAACACCTGACGAGCTTTAATACCTACTTCCTGTCTGTGTCTCCTTCCTCACCCGTAGAGTTTGGGAGGCGGTTGCCATGGAGCCTGCGTGGCGACAGCAGGGAAGGGGGCGTGGCCGAGGTCAGGAGGGAGATAGGCCCCGCACCCCCGAAAAAGAGAGGGAGAGGCCGGGGGCGGGAGGAGGAGGTGCAGGAGGAAGAGGAGGAAGAGGAGCAGGAGGGAAGATGAAGACCGCTGCAACACCTGAACCTCCACAAAGTGAGAAAACTATAAAATGTAAGATTTAAATAAAAGAAGCGTTCCTATTGGCTGACACACGCTGCCTGTGTTTGATTGACAGGTGTGACGGTCCAATCAAAGTTCGAGGAGATCAAGAAGGCCAACCAGGCTGCTGCTCAGCGATTGGTGGAGCTGAGTTCCTCCTCTGATGATGAAGATGATGATGATGAAGGTGTGGAGGTGGATAATAAAGATGGAAAGAGAGGGAAGATCCTGGCCTCCACCTTCACCACCTACACCGACCAGACAGGTGAGACACACACCTGGAGGCTACTGAACACAGTGTATTAGTTACTTCATGCAGAGACGATTGTTCATTTAAATAAACTGTTATTTTATGAATTATTTTTTACACCACACACATTTTTTTAAATGGCACATTTTTATATATTTATTAATAAATAAAATCGATAACATTTATCCACCCCTTATTTTTTAAATGTTTAAATATAATGAGTTTTATTTATTTAAATTAGTATTCATGAATACATTTTTTTTTTTACTTATTATTATTTTAATACTACTGGTATTTATTTATTTATTTAAAAATCTACTTTAAATTAATATATGTATTGTTAAACCAAGAGTATTTCACATTTACTTTTAGTCATTCTTGTACTTCTAGCATTTTCGAATAATTACTTTAAATATATCTGTATTTAAAAAAAAATATTTCCACGTATTTAAATATGTCTTTGTTTTCAATAATACATTTGAGTTATTTATTTTAATACCAAAATACTAAATAGCAACAAAAAAAACATGTTTATATAAAATCAAAGATTAATGAAATGATTTTATATAAATATCTTTGTTGTACGTATTTTTTATTTTAATACCTACATTATTTATCACTTTTTAAAAATGTCTTTATTTTAATCAAACTACTTTTTCTCTCTACAGGAGGCGATGCGTCGGCTCTCCTCCGGACCGGTCAATACGTCAACGATCTGTTTCAATCAGGAGCTCTGACCTGTTTGATCTGCATCGCCTCCGTGAAGAGGGTCCAAGCTGTGAGAGACACACACACACACACACACACACACACACACACACACAACACACACACACACACACACACACACACACACACACACACACACACACACACACACACACACACACACACACACACACACACACACACACACACACACACACACACCACACACACACACACAGACACACACACACACACACACAGACACACACACACACACACACACACACACACACACACACACACACACACTCACACTCACACACACTCATGCTAATCTTTATTCATAATTACCTGTGTGTGTGTGTGCAGGTGTGGAGCTGCAGCAGCTGTTTCTCTCTCTTCCACCTGCCGTGCATCCAGAAGTGGGCGAGAGACTCCGTCTTCCTCGTTTCCTCCGTCACCGATGAAGACTTCGGGCAGAAGCAGCACCCCTGGCCCTGGTGAGGAAAACAAGCGCACCTTTTCAAATAAAATATAAATCCCATAATATATACTTTATTTAGTAAATAATCATCCTGTTTGATTTCCTCTCCGCAGCCCAAAGTGTCGAGCAGAGTATCAGCCGAGCGAGACGCCCAACAGGTACACAGAAACACCTGTTACTACCCTGTACAAGTACACATAAACACCTGTTACTACCCTGTACAAGTACACAGAAACACCTGTTACTACCCTGTACAAGTACACAGAAACACCTTTTACTACACTGTACAGGTACACAGAAACACCTTTTACTACCCTGTACAAGTACACAGAAACACCTGTTACTACCCTGTACAAGTACACAGAAACACCTGTTACTACCCTGTACAAGTACACAGAAACACCTGTTACTACCCTGTACAAGTACACAGAAACACCTTTTACTACACTGTACAGGTACACAGAAACACCTTTTACTACCCTGTACAAGTACACAGAAACACCTGTTACTACCCTGTACAAGTACACAGAAACACCTGTTACTACCCTGTACAAGTACACAGAAACACCTGTTACTACCCTGTACAAGTACACAGAAACACCTTTTACTACACTGTACAGGTACACAGAAACACCTTTTACTACCCTGTACACAGAAACACCTGTTACTACCCTGTACAAGTACACAGAAACACCTTTTACTACACTGTACAGGTACACAGCAACACCTTTTACTACACTGTACAAGTACACAGAAACACCTGTTACTACCCTGTACAAGTACACAGAAACACCTGTTACTACCCTGTACAAGTACACAGAAACACCTTTTACTACACTGTACAGGTACACAGAAACACCTTTTACTACCCTGTACAAGTACACAGAAACACCTGTTACTACCCTGTACAAGTACACAGAAACACCTTTTACTACACTGTACAGGTACACAGAAACACCTTTTACTACCCTGTACAAGTACACAGAAACACCTGTTACTACCCTGTACAAGTACACAGAAACACCTTTTACTACACTGTACAGGTACACAGAAACACCTTTTACTACCCTGTACAAGTACACAGAAACACCTGTTACTACCCTGTACAAGTACACAGAAACACCTGTTACTACCCTGTACAAGTACACAGAAACACCTTTTACTACCCTGTACAAGTACACAGAAACACCTTTTACTACACGTACAAGTACACGGAAACACCTTTTACTACCCTGTACAAGTACACATAAGCACCTGTTACTACCCTGTACAAGTACACAGAAACACCTTTTACTACCCTGTACAAGTACACAGGAACACCTTTTACTACCCTGTGCAAGTACACAGAAACACCTTTTACTACCCTGTGCAAGTACACAGAAAACACCTTTTACTACCCTGTGCAAGTACACAGAAACACCTTTTACTACCCTGTACAAGTACACAGAAACACCTTTTACTACACTGTACAAGTACACAGAAACACCTTTTACTACCCTGTACAAGTACACAGAAACAACTTTTACTACACTGTGCAAGTACACAGAAACACCTTTTACTACACTGTACAAGTACACAGAAACACCTGTTACTACCATGTACAAGTACACAGAAACACCTTTTACTACCCTGTGCAAGTACACAGAAACACCTTTTACTACCCTGTGCAAGTACACAGAAACACCTTTTACTACCCTGTACAAGTACACAGAAACACCTTTTACTACCCTGTACAAGTACACAGAAACACCTTTTACTACACTGTACAAGTACACAGAAACACCTTTTACTACCCTGTACAAGTACACAGAAACAACTTTTACTACACTGTGCAAGTACACAGAAACACCTTTTACTACACTGTACAAGTACACAGAAACACCTGTTACTACCATGTACAAGTACACAGAAACACCTTTTACTACACTGTACAAGTACACAGAAACACCTGTTACTACACTGTACAAGTACACAGAAACACCTGTTACTACCATGTACAAGTACACAGAAACACCTTTTACTACCCTGTGCAAGTACACAGAAACACCTTTTACTACACTGTACAAGTACACAGAAATACCTTTTACTACCCTGTACAAGTACACAGAAACACCTTTTACTACACTGTACAAGTACACAGAAATACCTTTTACTACCCTGTACAAGTACACAGAAACACCTGTTACTACCCTGTACAAGTAATATTATAGGTTGTTTAGAGCGGTCAGTACTGCAGGCTGCCAGCAGGGGGCGCCACACTCCACTTTATCTAAAAACACATTAAGAAACACAGCTGGGTTTTTTCAGAGTCAAACTGAACATGTAGAGATGGGGACATTTAATCCAGGGTGTGTGTTGTGTTCAGGTACATGTGTTACTGTGGGAAACAGCAGGACCCGCCCCCTGACCCCTGGTTGGCTCCTCACTCCTGTGGCTCCGTGTGTCAGAATGACATCAAACCTGCCTGTGGACACACCTGTCTGCTGCTCTGTCACCCAGGTAACACACACACACACACACACACACACACACACACACACACACACACACACACACACACACAGAAACACACACACACACATACACACACACACACAGAAACACACACACATTCATTATAATAATAATACATGGGATTTTTATAGTGCTTTTCCTAATGCATTAATTTAATATTTCATACCAGTTGTAGTTGTGTAGATGTAACTTTTGTGTGTGTGTGTGTGTGTGTGTTTCCAGGTCCCTGTCCTCCGTGTCCGAAGATGGTTTCTGTTTCCTGTTTGTGCGGCAAAGCTAAGCCCCTCCCCCGTCGCTGTAGCAACAAGGTACGACTTTTACGCATATATAATTTTTTAAAAAAAAAACAATCAAATGTAAATTATGTTTTTATTTATGTGTTTATCTGCAGGCGTGGTCGTGTCAGAAGCAATGCAACAAGCTGCTGCCATGTAGACAACACACCTGCACACACACCTGCCACACAGGTACACACACACACACACACACACACACACTAATACTTGTTAATATTCTCAGTTAGCAATCACGTATCTGTATTTCTATATCTGTAACCTGTGTGTGTGTGTGTGTGTGTGTGTGTGTGTGTGTGTGTGTGTGTGTGTGTGTGTGTGTGTGTGTGTGTGTGTGTGTGTGTGTGTGTGTGTGTGTGTGTGTGTGTGTGTGTGTGTGTGTGTGTGTGTGTGTGTGTGGTGTGTGTGTGTGTGTGTGTGTGTGTGGTTGTGTGTGTGTGTGTGTGTGTGTGTGTGTGTGTGTGTGTGTGTGTGTGTGTGTCAGAGTGCTCCCCCTGTCCCCGGGTCAGTGTTCAGAGGTGTGTGTGTGGCAGAGAGGAAACAGAGAGACCGTGTGCCAGCCCAATGTGGAACTGCAAGCAGGTAAACAACAACAACAACACACTCATTGTTGTTTATTACTGTACGGTATTTAAGGTCGTCTTGTTGGATGAAGGAATGTGTGTGTGTGTCAAAGTAAACCATTATATGTTGGACACACACACACTTTTAAAATCTGAATCTTTAGGAGAGCTTGTTGACGTTAGCTGTTAGCTTAGCATCCTGTTAACAGAGGTACAATATGATGCGTTCAGGCTCTACTCAGGAAAAATGAGTATTAGTGACTTGCTGTGGTGTTATTAAGACTTTTTACCCGAAAATGTTACCTGTCTTTTCTAAATTTGATTCATATGTCCCCTTTAAACAGGTGTGTGGCTCCGCCCTCTCCTGTGGGAATCACACCTGTGAGGTT